AAAAAAAAAAAAAAAAAACTTGCTTTTTGTGTGTGTGAAGAAAAAAAGTGAAGAAACTTGATAACTGATTTGTCAAGGTTGAGGCTTCATTGTATCAGACACCAAGCAGTAGCAAGCTTTGTGAATAAGCACCCTCACTGATGAGTCCCATGGCTGGGTAAAGTGGAGAAGCAGAACTTCTTCCTTTTTCAACAGGTCCCCAGTCACCAAGCTGCTTATAACACCTCTTCCAAGATAATCTGATCCCTCTTGTACAGTTCAGCCCCCTTCCTTGACCAGACCCATCCATGGAAAAGCTTCAGCGCAGGGATCCTTGGTTCCTCCTCAGAGCCTTCAGGGCTGGCGGCTTTCCAGGTGACTCCACAGAGGCCTACATTTTCTAATAAAAGGAATGCTGCCTAAAGAAGTTGGTTACCAGGTGTGGCATGAAGTTAGTGAACCAGAAAGAAGGGATTTATCAGTCATTTAAAAAGAAGGGGAGGGAGGGGGAGAAAGAAAAGGAGAGAAATCAACAAGCAGGAATGACACCTAAGCCTACTTCTATCAATCTGAAATATGCTTTGGAGTGAAAAAGCTTTCAAAGGAAAACCACGATGGTCAAATTTCAGTTGCAGAAAAATATGCAAAGTTGAAAAGTTTGGCTCTTCTGTGGGGACCGAGGTGGGGATTGGAGGCGGGGAGGTCTTCAGGAGCTCTCTCCTCCAGTAAGACGGCAAGAGGAGATTTCAGTGATATTTTGCTCTCTTGCGTTTTCTCTTTTTAATACGTTCTTTTCTCATCTCTGAGTTGACTCAAAAGGGCCTCGTGATTCTTGGAAAGTCATTGAATTTATTTCTATAATTGAGTTATTTTTAAGCTAACAGTCAGTGTATGATTTTTAAGAATCGCACATACTAATGCATTTTCTATTTTTGTAAAATTTAGCGAGAAAGTAGATAGTCTTAGTAGATACTCTCCCGAGTCTTTGTGTGAGCCTGGGTACTAACTTTGTGTTCAATACAAATCAATGGAACTAGTGCACTTTAGGGCACTCATTCCCTATGGGAGTCACTAATGGAATTATCTGTAGCCCTTAAAAAAAGTCACAATGAGGCTAATGAAAATTTTTTCTAAGTGAAATCTGGATAAGGCACTAGGCTTACTGGCACATTTTATTTATGGCATTTATCATATATGGCACATTTTGCACACAAGTTTTACAAATCTCAGAATGTTTTTAAGAGCTATTTAATTTCTAAAAGACTTTGTAATTTCAGGTTAAATTGTTTATACCAATAAAGAAGTGTATCACATGTCCTCAACTTCAGAATCATTCTGGGATGACATTAAAACTTTAGAAAAATTTTTAATATCAGATACAGATGAGAAACTTAACAGGCTTTGAATTGGAAATAACTTGTGGGGGTTTTCATTAAAGTTGGGTGCAGCTTGCTGCATTTTGGTTAGTTGGATGTCTTCAGCAATTTTTCAAATGTTTTGGGTTTGGCAAAGTCCAAAATGTTTTTGCCAAGACCCTCTTTTCCCCTTATTTTTTAAACCCGTGTGAAATTCAAGGATAACTTAATCCATATGTGTCTGATTCATTTACACTTAACTCATCAAAATGTTATTTTGTAAGACCCATTTAATATCCAAAAAAACCTTTTGAGCCTTTTTAAGACAAGTCTTTTGTCTTTGAACCAGTGAGTTGCGTTTTTCCATCTGAATGGAGCTTGGACCTTAAAAGATTGAAGATCAGTGTATTTTCAATTTTAGAGTCTTCACATTTTAAGTAGAATCAAAACTTGATATTCTGTTTACTACTTGAGCATTGAATAAGGTCATTTTAAAATATAGATCAGAGGAAGTGGAAAAAATTTCTTGTCGTGTGATTTAGGGAAAGGTTGCATTTGGAAATTTTATCTTAGTAATACTAAAGAAATAAAAAGTACTCCTAGTCTGAATTTTTAAAATCTATAGTTAAATGTCTCCATTGTATGTACCTTGATGTGTTTTCTAAGAGTGGCCTGCCGATCATCAGTACAGTGGGGTAATTGCATTTTTCTCGTGTTAAATTGTTCTTAAAGTCAACTCATTCATTGGTAATTTTGATAACAACATCTATGGTGTTTGTAAGATATCCCAAGATCAGGGGAGTTGACAATTGGCAGGAGTTGTAAGTTAAGAGATTTCTGAAAAATTGGGGCCCATATGTTTTTAAAATTCTGTGTGATTTGAAAGAATGTGGTAGAATTATGATCCTGGCAAGATAGAACACTATGGATCAAAAACATTGTTTGAGAACAAAAATTCAGAGAAGCTAAATGGAACCCAAGTGAAAAAAAAAAAAAAAAAGGCAGAATCTCTATGACCCTTTGTAAAAAAGGATCTAGTTGAAAACCTTCAGAGGCTTCTATGCATATTTGTTTAGCAGAACCGGGCAAAGAAAGGCCATCGCCAGAACTGCTAGTGAACATCCAGTCCATGCCATGGTAACTAGTTGAAAATGTAATAGCGGAGTGGCATCTCCAAGTTCAGCGCTTCTATAAAGACCTGCTAGCACACAGAATGCTTTTTTAATGTTCTGCATTGTTGTGTGTCCCCCATTGAACACCCTTTTGAGCGGACCCCGTTTTTACTAATGTAAACATTCTGACGAGTATCCAAAGAAATGACCTTTGAGTGAACCTCTAACCTTCCCCGTAATTATTTGTTTGAAGACAGTGTGGAGTTCTCCTGCTGAGAACTAAGAACCATGATGCCTTGCAGCTCTGTGAGGAAGGGAGTGTTTGGGGGAACTGGGGAGAAAGACATAAATAAGGGAACAACCTCCAGATGTAAATAATAAAAGAGTAAAAGGGTAAAATGAAAAAGGGAAAAAATTGCAATTCATTTTACCTAAAGAGTTGGCCTGTAGGAAGAAACAAAACCAGGATCAGTAGCACATAAAAAGAGGTGAAGCCTCTGCCATGTGTGTCCTCCATTAGAAACTTCAAGGAGGAAAGAAAAGGTTTCTCCAGGCTCGCCTGAGCATCTCAGTTGGTCTTAAGCTGCACAGATAAAACGAGTTCCTGGGGGTGAGAATTGCAGGTCAGTCCCCCTTGGTCCCCGTAAAGACAGTGGGGAAAGAGTAGATAATTAAGTTCCTTTTCTGATTTAAGGGATGCTTCTGGAATGCTTTGTGATCTGGTCTGATATTCCTCAGTAGCACTTATGTTCCAGGTGGGAATACATGTGCAGTTTCAGCTCTCCTTTTGTATCCACCTCCCCGAGTCCTGTCACTTGTTTCCCCAAACCTTGAGAGGGTGTAACATTTTTGACAACTGAGCTGTACTTCCTTAAGTAATAAAGAAGTTCATTGTTTTGCAAACAAACACCATATGCAAAAGACTCCTTTGGTTTTCTTGCAGCTGTTATTCTTCAGCCTAATTGTATTCCCTCTAGAATGCTCACGGGAGGCCCGAACAAGTGTGGGCTGCTGTCCTCCTAGGAAGGGACTTCAACTCCTTAGAAACACAGAGCTGCCAACACACACTAGAATTTTTCTGGCTAATTTCAAAGAATGGGTTTTCAGTTCCTGCCTGTGGCCCCATGCAGACTCATTAATCACGAAGTCCCTTGCACTTAAGATTTCAAACTGGAAATACTGGGAAATGTTCTAAGTGGGTGTATTTTTAAGGAGGTGCTAGCTATGTTATAGGCGGCATGCCCTCCCTCCATGCCCCCCACCAGATGCACGGCCAGTGAGTCCCGTGCATCACTTCAAATGTGTGGGCAGTGCACAGCATTAAAAATGCACAGGGACAAGGGTAACTCGCAAATGGTAGAAAATTGTTTTGTTTTTATTAAATTTGGAGAAATAAAGGAGATTTCTTATCATCTTACTCTGTTTGTACATGAATATTTGATGGGCATTATTAAACATTAAAGTAACATGAAGTAGGCACTTATTTTTGGATTTCCAACAAAATTAGATCCAGGCTTCTAGACGAAATAACTGCTTCTCCTTTACATTCCTGTGATTCAGCCACCACCTGATTTGAAAACGTTTCTTGGGCCCTAATATCAACCATGTGTACCTGAGGCTGGGTCTTTCTAGTGGGTTGAAAGGTGGCTGGGTTTATGGTTGGCAGTTACCTTATCCCTGCCCTGGGTGTCCCAGCTTAGACTGGAAAGGCCGCCCCCAGCTGGCACTGACCTCTAAATGACCCCTAACTTTACAGGCTTAAACTGCAGGAGTTGCCAAAGAGCAGAAGTCTTTCTGGCCAGCACTTATTACTGCTGTGTTGGTGATAAAACTTCAGACAGCCTAATTGATGGCTTTGCTGACCTAACAATACCTTGTGAAAGCAGAGTGCCAGAGCCTGGTCTCCATTTATGACCAGCTGCAAGGGGAAGCTAGGTCTCCCTATGATGGGGAGTTTAGGGAAAGGAGAAAAATCTTCCAGCCCGTGAACTTTAACCAGATTCCAACTTGTTCAAGAAGCAGAAGCACGACTGCAAATTAATACATGTTTTCTCAGGGAAAACTTGATTCCCTCGCTGAGCCTTTGTCCGAAAGTCAACCCCGACTTGGTTATCAGATGATGGAGATGATCCAGTCAACTGTTTCTGAACACTGCAAAGGGAAAACTGACCTTTGGATCAGAAAGATAATTCTCGGTAGATGTTTGACCACGTCGTATCCTCCGCAGCGTTTGTGCCAAAGTGCTCATAGGGCGCAGAAACTGCATTGGATGATTGGACTTCTCTGTTCTATTTCAGGTTTATTAATGCCAGAAGAAGAATAGTACAGCCCATGATTGACCAGTCAAATCGAGCAGGCAAGTTCCAACTAGTGTCTGCATTCATGTCCCATAGGCACAGATCCTCATCAAGTTATACTCTAGGAGTTTCATCACCTGGTAAATACATGCTTCCATCAGGCATCCTGGGAGAATTTTTTTTCTAATGTCCCCAGGATTGCACTTAGGAAGCAACTTCACTAATTGGTGCTAATTGGAGATTTCCCACCCTGACTC